TTGGTCCATACTCGAACCCTAGGACTTCTAACTTACCATTTGACACTTTGACTTTTAAAAACTCTTTTGTAACAATAGTTTTGTCAAAAGATAGCCAACAACTTTAAATCCTAACATGAACGAAATAAAAAAAACATGAGATTCTTTTTATTTACATGTTTATCTGCGATATATCTTATAGTTTTACTTACAAAGACTTTCTCACAGGTTTCCACAATTTCAAAGACACATATCCTTTTTAAAAATTACATAAATTTATCTTATTTCAAATTTTAAATGACTCATTCCTCCCATTACCACTTTTCTTTCATATTTTACAAATAATCGTGTTGATGCCTAAAAGTACCAATATGAACTTTATTCCATCGTGACTCCTTTAACAATAATTATATACTTGAATATATCATGTTAACACTTTTAACTAAATCAACTGCAGCTGATTTATTTGAATATTTTTTTTAGGGAATACAAGATAAAGATTGTCTTGCATGTCAATATCTTCATTATCGACGTCTTGTATGTCAATGTCTTTAAAAAAATCCAATGATACAAAATTTTATGACTGTAGTAATATGATGATTCAAAAAATAACTCTTATTGATCTCTTCAAAAGTTTTATACATATCAGAATATTATTTTGAGGGTAAATGTCTTGTATGTTATGGACATTCATCACACAAAGAATATGCCTAGTTAAAATCTTATTAGGAAAACCTAGGAAAAATGCTAATGAAGGAAAAAGAATACATTATTCTTTTAGATACGCCACAAAAGTTGCTTCATTAAAAACCTTGCTAGAAAACCAAATGGGATAAAACTTTGGTCAAGAGAAAAAAGAATATAATGCATATTTATCCCATCTGATGATAATATGGATACTAAATCCTTCAAGGATAATATTATAGTCATGCCACATGAGTTGACTATCTTGTATTTCAAATTTCATGCATTGTCAAGATAATATGATATGGATTCGTGATTTCATCCACTATGATGTTTGAGAAATTCACCATGTTAGAATCGTGCAGTGCATATTACGACTTTATTTTTCTCTTCATGAGCAACAATATGATAAATTATTAATTTAAAGTTTATAAGAGAATATCTAAAATTATTTAATCAAGCTAAATATAATTACCATACTCTAGTTAAATTGAGCATGAATTACCAAATAACAACATGAATTAAATCTGGCATGATATTATTATATTACAGGCAAATTTGCAGCGTGAAAATAAATCATTACACACAATTACGGAACTCAATACACAAACCATAATGCATAGTTATGAAATTATCAAATGGCAACATCCAGCACTTGTTTGATCCTCATTTTTTTTAAAAATACATTGTTTTCTATCTTTTTTTTAAACACGCATTATTCAATAAAATAATATTACACGTAAACCAAATTTTTTTCTTATTTTTAACTATATATTTTTCATAAATCTACTATTTCAAAATACTTTCTAACCCAAAGAGTGGGGCTCAAAAATGTCCCAATTATCAACATTGCATGTTGTTCGAAAAAGAAAAACGATCATTGCGAACGGGTAATGATTACGTGTACCAATACACTATAGAGACAACTTCAAGTCTTCAACAACGGGAAGTAATTTCTAACTTGTTCAGTACACGGGAGGTATTCATGGAACTGCAAATTACAACATGAAAAATTTAAGTGCAAAGAAAGGCGCTGATAATTTGGCATAATTAAATAAGAGCGTTCGTGCTGATAACATATTATAAAATTAAATAAATAAAAGAGAATAAATAAAGAATAAATAGAGAGAAAAATAGATAGTTAAAACTCAAGTGTATGTTTTATCGAGAATCAAGACTCGTATTTATAGGATTCAAAATGAAAGTTATAATTCGAATGAAATAGATTTTCTACACTAGATAAAACTCATCTATGTATCAATAACACTACATAATTATCAGTTATTATCTCATTATTTTACAAAAACTTAATAAATGTAGACCGTTAAATGATAATAGGAATGATCATTTACCATAAAATTCTTGGATATACTCTAATATCCCCGTTTGACAATCATTATTTAGATAAAATAAAGATTTAAATAACGATTTTTTAGAAAATGTGTGGCTAAAAAGTAGAAATTATTATTTTTTTAAATTTATGTGTATAATATTTTAATATATGAATATATGGTTGAAAATGAGTATTTTAGAAAAAAAGTTTTTGAAATAATAATTCACGGAGATAAGTAAGTTTTCAAGAATCCCACGGCGGCACTGCCACAAAATATCTACAGAGAAAAAAAAAAAAAAAAAAAAAA